CAAGCGGCTGTGACGCAAAGTCGACCATGAGCTCACGCAAAATGCAACACCCGGAAGCTGCATCTGGCTACAGCATGTCAAGCGAGATCGGCTGGAGCCGGCGCAACAACTGGCGATTAAAACTGGGGGGGGGGGGGGGGGNNGAACAGCGCCCGTGCGCAAATCAGCTGCATCCATTGTTGCAATTGTTTCATGACCAAAACTTATGGCTTCAGCAAATAACTCTGTGCGCTTCTTGCAGCGGCTTTCGTGCACGCGACAGGCGGAGGCAGTTCTCACTTAGCCAACATCATCTTCACGAACTCTTCGTAACCTGGGTGGAGTTAAGTTCAGGAATTGGCTGTTGCTGTGGCCCGTGGCAGCATAGCATTCTGATGCCTACAGTACAGCCGTCTAGAGCAGGGGTGATGTCCGTAATGTCGCCGCAAGCAGCATCTCACTGCTGGGCAGATTGCTAGAAAGCATGCACATCAGACTTCGTGTCACAAGGGGCAGTCTAATCACAAAAACAGTGTCTCCTCTGCACACAGGAGAACCATAGTGCCCCAGCGAGAGTCACAAGCTGTGCAACCATTGCATGAGCTTTCTGCTTCCAAAACGACCGTCGTCATTCAAAGCGACCCGAGCCACTTATCAACAATCCGAAAACAGTTCTATCAAACACGCAATGCTCTAGACTATTCGCAGAGGATCCAACGGTCTGAAAGTGCAGGCTCTCAGTTAGACGAAGCCGCCTCTATGCTAGTCAGACCTGAAGCGCCATTTCATGTATCAGACCGACAGCTGGGCAGGCAGCGGATTCTTCCGCCACGGACAGGCCTTTTCTGGATCTTGGTGGCATCACCTGGTCGAGCAGCGTGCAAGGCTCCAACGGGTTAGGGCAAGGGCACAGGTAGATCTTACACGCCCGGCTCTTGGCCCGTGGCTCTGCAACCCAATCCCCATACCGCCCATACCCAAAACAGTAGCCGTGGCAAGAGACCCACGATGGCAATGACATCAACGACAGCGTCATCTCTGGCCTTGAGACTTTCTGGGAAGACTTGGCATCCGGGAAGCTGCCAGAGCCAACCTGTAGTGGTTTATAGGGGTTTAGGGGTTCAGGGTTTAGGGTTTAGGGGTTTAGGGGTTTAGGGTTTATAGGGATTTAGGGGTTTAGGGGTTCAGGGTTTAGGGTTTACGGTTTAGGGTTGTAATGGCCCTTCTGGGTCCCCGGAGACCAGCAAGGGCGCACCGGGAAAGCTGTGCTGAGGTTAACAAAAAGAGGTGTGGGTCTCAACATAGGCGTGCGTCTTACCTCTAAAGGCATATCTATTGAATAGCGTTCGGATGCTGCCGCGATGATTATCAAATGCATCCTACTTTTCTAGGTATCCTGTCATCTGCATACCTGCACACCCCCTTACAAATGATCAACCTTCAAACTGTTCGGTTACATGAAACAAAACCACACATAATATACGCAAAGACTGTGTGTGCACATATATATATATATATATGCATATGCATACATACGTAGAGATGTATATGCATGTGCATATATCAACATACTATGCATCTAGGGAGCGGCATACATACACAAGCAGCAGTATGCACCAGTGCACGAGGTCAATCCATCGCCCATGCCCGAGGCTCCAGCCTGCTAAGTACTGGGTCAAGGGTGTCTGAACTCAAGGAACTACGTGTTCACATGTGTTCTCTACAGACATAAGCTTCAACCACATGACCCGGTACTTGACTTAAGAGCGAAGGCTGGCCTGCAAACTGCCGACAGATGGCTTCTGGTTGCTTTACGTCACATCCCGGAGTCTGAACGTAGTAGGCGCTGCATCAAGGGCGAGGCATGTTCGTGGGACGAGATGCACATGCCCTCAAAGCACCAGGCCCTGACATTCCCAAACACCGCAAACTCACGGAGAGCTAAATAAACTGTCTAGACAAACTGCAATGGCTCAATCGCCAAATCAATGCTCGGGCCAGGCGGCACGTCTTCGGAGCAGGTAACTTGTTGCGCAAGCCATGCTCGTGCCTTCTCTGCAACGAGATCCTTGGAGTGCTGTTTATTCACGAGAAGCTGGCGTTCGTTCAAGATGCCAACTCTGAAACACCTCTGTCTCTGCATGTCCGACTTCCGCAGAATCCTTCACAGTGATCCTGACAGCTCCCAGAGATCCATGTCTCCCTGGCCGGTTTCCTGCCCATCTTCAACTGCGGCCATGCAGCCCATTGGCTCTGTCCTGCGATACATCAGCATCATGGGTAGCTGTATACCATCAAGGGGTCATAGCATTTTACACCCTTCGGGTCAGGACGTCGAACCCTGGAACCGACATTAGCTCTGTGAATGTCCAGGGTATGTTGGAGTTCCGAATTTCCCTGCCCGTCCTTGACACTGTGCGAGCACCCCCAGAGCCAAAGCAGATGCCCACACACGAGAATCCAGCCCTGCCCATGGGCTCTTGTCTTGACATGCTTCTCCCAAACCCTCGTGCATGATGGATCCGGAGTGCTGACGTCTTGGCCGTACCTGTAACTTACCAGAGGCAAACCGGGTTTAGCGCGAAGTGCAAGTGGTGAGATGAGATTTTCGAATGTTACATTCCCGGATGCTAGGACCGACGTGTGGAAAGATGTTGGGCACGGCAGCCACGCTTTGAAAGCAATGGACGGACGTTTCCAAACTGGGAAGATCGCAGACGCACCTGCCGGAGGCTCCAAGCTCGCCAGCTCCACATGAAAGAGGGCAGCAAAACCGACGTTCAGGTCCCAAGCTCCATCAAAGGCCTTCAGGGGAGAAAGTCTATGTCGTCTACGTCTCAGGACTGCCGGGGGCTTTGCCGGATTCTCACAACTCCCGAGACTGAAACAGCGTTTCGGGCCAAGCTCAAAAGCTCATGACTTGTCCTCCGAGCAAGATCTTGGCCCTGTGCCTGCAGAAGCACCAGAGACTGGAGAAGCTCGGGCTGAACCTCAGGGGATAGCCGACGTTCCGATGAAGAGCCTTTCGACGATGCAGCTGCGACGACACGGTAGGATCGGATTTGGGGGATTCCGAAAATAGGGGACCCTAATATGGTACCCTAAATAGTAGGATCCTTATTATAAGGACCTTAAAATAAGGTACCCCTTAGTTTCGGAAACTCCCATTTCCGGACAGGAAGAGGCCTCGGAGCTTGTCTGCGCGGGTGTCGCCTCCCACGCGTCCTCCGTGCAGCTGAAAGCCAAAAGGCGCGGTGGTGACTACATGGGAGTTTCCGAAAATTAGGGGTACCATATTTTGGGGACCTTATAATAAGGATCCTAGCATTTAGGGTACTATGTTAGGGTCCCCTATTTTCGGAAACCCCCACATCTACGGCTTCCTCGCAGACGGCCGGAAGTCCTCCACATCGAAGAGATCGCCATCAACGTCTGCTTCTCGGATCATCTCATCGATCTCATGTTCGTCAAGTGCTTCACCTGTGCTTCAGAGCGTAGGCTTCCAGGCTCAGGTGCTACAGCAGTGGGTGCCGAGATGGGTGAAGTCGTCTACATCTAGGAGGCAGCATATTCGCATGCGGCAGATCTTCATTTTTAGCAGTCGGCAAAGCGTACACAATGGATTGCTCTTGCCTGGCTCCCGGATAGCTGCAACCACTTACCCCGACCAGGTACGCTGCGAGACTCCTTCGAAGCCACCCTCCTTCGAAACCTGAAGGCCCTTCTATAGTCCAAACCTCACTGAACAAGCAGTGTGTATACACACTTTGTTGTGCATGACTTGTATAACACATGGTTGGAGACCCTGAAACCCGTGGTGGCCTAGGTTTGTCATCACATTGCGCAGTTCTGCTGCAGAGATGAAGCCGTCGCCGCGGGTGTCAAAGACACGAAATGCTTCAACAAGCTCTTCCTGCCGACGAGTTCACACTTACACACACACACACTCTCTCTCTCTCTCTGTCTCTCTCTCTCTCTCTGACTTTCTCACTCACCTGTGTCAATATATTATGTATGGACCAATGTGTATTTATATATACATGTGTACATGGACACATGAATTCACGCACGTATGCATGCATGCATGTATGAGTATGTATATGTGCTGTGTATGCATGCATGCATGCTGAGTCTATGAAAAGAGCTTCGTCGTGACATGTCAATGTCTTTACCTACTTGAAGTGCTAGCGACCTAGCGACCTAGTCCCGCTTTTGGGGTACTCGTACCGTGGAGCCGGATGGGAGAATGCACTATGGTGCAGCTGTGCACGGGCGAAACGCCTGTTCTCCAGCTTTCGTTAGCCGAGTGATCGACCTCTGCCACGCGGAAAGTAACACCGAAAGCAGTGCACGTGTGTGTTTGTACACTCAATCAGCAACACTGAGTACCTGTGAAAATACAGATAGATGGACAGGATTGTCATAGCCTCCAGCCGCTCATCGTAAAAGACTGCCACTCGGACGAACCGAAACTCACTCGACTACTTACTGTATATCGAATCCTCACGCAGCAAATACACGCAAAGCAACTCACGATCCGAGCTGGCAAGGGCCGGCTACCCCCTCTGCTGCCTCTGTGTCGGTGTCTTTCATCTTGCGCGCCTGCCTGAGCTGCACGGAGGCAGACCCTCTAGGTTATCGATTCTGCGGATAAATCATAGTCACAGTCTATACTCCGAGGATACAAAACACATGATTTTTCCACTCCAGCGGACATGGAAAAGATTCTGGCATCTTCAGGTCGTGGCAGGCGTGGCCGAGCTCTCTGTCCTACGTCGATCGGGCAAGAGACATCGCCAGGAATTCTGGGAAGTCAATGGTCCCGATTCCGTCGCAGTCGACCTCGTTAATCATGTCCTGTCAGGATCGAGGGCTTCGTTTCTGGGATCCTGACATGCAGAAGCAGGGGAATTCTGATTCTGGGTCTGGGAGACATCATGGACAGTCCCCAAGAAGGAAGTGATTCGAGACGGAGCTTTAAAAGGCCCTTCAAAGGCAGTCATATAGGGGCCTTAATAATCAGAATAGGGTTTTGGGGGGCCATTATACTATCATCCTAAACCCTAAACCCTATACTATCATTATATTAAGGAACCCCGGAACCCCCAAAATAGTATTGGTAATTATTATTTAGGCCCCAAAATTTAGACGCTCAGTCGGCCAAGCGCCTGCAGCTCCGCTTCCGTTGGGTTCTGCCCCAGGCCTCAGAGGCTTCAACAAGAACACCCAAAGAGCGCTTCAAAGGAACTCATAAGTTTAGGTTTAGGGTTTAGGGTTTAGGTTTTAGGGTAACCTATACCATTGTGGGGGTTCCTTATTATAATTATAGTATCCCCCCTGGGGGCATCGCCTCCCTGTGTGGGAGGGTCGTTTTTTTTTGTTTTGTGTCTTCGACTCTTTGGTCCTTGGGGCTCCCCGGTAGCTTGACGAATCACATTTCTGTGACGGTATCGGCTGTACTTACAGAAGAGCCTTTTGCAAAGACCAGGCGTGGCACTGGTTGTCATTTGTCCCACCGTCTGCCCTCTTTGTTAGACTGAATATGCCGAGACTCTGTGCATCAAGCTTTTGAGATCCTTTGTCCTCATCGTTCCGCCTTCAGATGTGTGGGCAGCAGAGTTTCGAACTGCTGACGTGACAGAATTTGTTCTGCCAGCGTTGGCAACTACAATCTGCAAGTGGTATCTTGCACGAGTTTCGACGAAAGGATTTTGCTTACACCCCGGAGCCCCACACAATGCGCTAAACCCAAAGAAAGATCGAAACACTCAAAGTCAGGACCTGTTCGCAACCGGAGATCTTGAAGTCAGCGGACTGTGCATACACACGCCTAGGAAACTTGTGTAACTGCGCAGCAAAACTCCAGGTATGCCCAAACACCAGTAGGCCTGCACCAGCCAGGCTGGGTCGGGGCGGCAGCATGCGGTTCGCACTGACCGAGCGGCTGGATGCAAGCGGCTCCTGGGTGGAATGTTTGGCAACCTTTCCTTGTGGCCCCCACACAGGCTGAAATTGTCTTTGGAGCTGAATTACATCCTTGTAGGATGCTCGAAAGGAGCTTAGCTCAAATTGAAACCAGCATCACCAAGTAGAGTGCGGGCCATGAGTCCGAGAGGGGGATGGCACCGGTAAAAAAAACTCTCACTTCCCAACCCACGGCCGTCCTGTGTAGAGCTGATTGCAATGAAGGACGTGTAGCGGGTTGCCAACTGAAAGTCAACGCCTGTGTGCTTCATGGTGCTGGCAGCTTATGGCTTACAATGACTTCCGGGATTCAGCAGCTCTCCGGTTCAACCTCGCCAACAGTAAGAGTCAGAGGTCCACAGCCGGACCTAGATCGACGATGATTTGTTCTTGCCGCTGCCGCTCCTGCAGTGTTGCGACAATACAAGCCCCCCCCGATATATATATGAGCGTTGATCAATAT